AATTTAACCACATCTTAGCCTTATCCCGTAGTGAAAAAGGAAAAAGTCTAAGTCTAACAGCTTCATTTGAGACTGTCATATTTAAAAGTAGCACAAAATTCTAAAAAACTAGCGAGGTATAAGTTAGGATCTTCATTTGGTGTACCTTACAATTGATTGTTTTGTACCATTTGGATAATAGCAGGTTTAAGCTCAAATGAATTAGCAGCTACATCCAGATTTTGGATAGATAAGTGAATTTCATCTGTTGTAGGATTTGCATAATCTCGTAGGGGTCTAGGTTGGTGTTCATTTTATATTCCTTGATTTTTTCCATTGTATCAGAACTTCTAGGTTCTCTTCTCAATCTTCTAATCTTTCTAACAGTTCGTTCTAATTTTGAATCGCAGGGTATAAGATTTTCAGGTCCAAATTTATGCATACAATTTGAAATCACCACACAATAAAAAAAGTAACTAAATATGAAAATAAGTTAAAATTCGAGAAAAAATTTTCTAGTAATCCTAATTTGTTCGTTACTCTAATTGTGATTTTTGTTTACTCGTTCTCCAGAAACGGCGCCAAAAACTTGACCGCGACTTTATATATGCTTAAAAATATAAGTATTTAATATTGCTGCTAAAAGATTGAAATCCTCAACAACTGTACCAAAACTCAATAACAGTTATAGATGCGATAAATATGGACGTAATAAATATTCAATAATTGTAAATTAACACTTATCAACACAAGTATACGTATCGCTCAAGTAATATGGGGCTCTAATGGAGTCTTAGATATCGATCCCACAGGGAGTAAGATTAGAACTATGAACTAAGATTTTAGAAAACCAATACTTTAATCACAATAACAAAGTTCAATTTGCTTATCTGTCACTAATAGGCAATTGAAATAAATAAAAGCATCCTTCTCCTTGTCAAGAAATTATAGTGAATGGATCAAATGAATTAGTTCAAATTAAATTATGTCAAATAGGAGCATACATATTCTTTACCCTTTGGTCCAGGCATAAAAAATATTGACTAATCCTAAGCTTGTTTACTGAATCTGCGGCTAGGTTGAGAGGATACCGGCTCTCACTTTCGAGCTCCCACGTTCCCCTCGCCTGAGGGCTAACATCTACACTTCAGCACCAAAACGATAGGATCGAATTGGAGATTTTAGTCTGTCACTGTAAAATCTCCAATTCTATGCCCGATAATATTATTTTTCTACTTATTTGCACCCAACTTCCAGGGGCTTTGACCTCCTTGAAACTTGGATGTAATCTTCACTTCAGCTGTAAAACTCAACATATTTTAACAAATCAATTGGCCAGATTGAAAGTAAATTAAGATCGAAGTGAAAAGATCATCACAATTTCTTAAACATTTTCATGGCTTCACCAATTCAAATCACCATTTCACAAATCTCAAGACAAGGAGAAAGACAGAGAAAATTACTTAGATCTCCTGGGGAAAACACAACAAAACTCGGAATTCATATATAAAATCAAATTCATACAAACTACAGCAATAAATAAACTTATCTCTAATTTCTCCCTAAGAAAACTCCTCGAAGTTCCTTTGAACCTCTTCCTTTCTTTACAGCACACAAAATTTCTCTTCGAAGCAGCAAGGCGGAAGAAATCTCTGACCTTCCCTCCACTCTTACAATATCTTGAAGAATTCCTCACAATTTAGACTCTCTACACTTTTTCACACTTCAATTTGGAGCCTCTCCTCCTCTCGGACCTCTCTAACTTCCAGGACCTCTCTAATTTTTGGCCAAAATCTTCTTTTAAAGTTGTGGATGAGTTTTCCCAAGAGTTGCCTAAGAATCCCATCAAAATTTATCCTTATCCACAATCTGATTGGACATTACCGCCAAGCTCACCGTCGGTGGCCTCAAGGGCACCGTTGGTGGACCTTCTTAATGAATTAATTCTGGAGTCTTGGGAAAATCTCTTCGTCGGTGGGTTCGATGGCGCTGTTGGCGCTCTAGTTGAATTCTTCATATTTTGGTCCTTTTCGCTCATTTTTGCATCTTTTTGCTCCAATGACCCTAATTCATCATTGCAGCAATAAAATATCAGAAATACCTTTCCTTAAAGTGCAATATAATCAAAAACAGTATAAAATATGTATGAAAATCTCAACATATTTTCCTCTGGTCATAAACCCCACTTTCTAATTTTTAATAAGTATTTTAGTTTATGAGTATAAGTAGTATTGTAGTGATAATTATAGGATATAATAAAAACCAAACTTTTATACCAAACTTTTATCGACACTTTTATCGACCTTCTAAGCTAGGGCGTAAGATTCTAGACTAGAACTTCTCTTGAAAGCCGCCGTGATTAACCTTGATCTCTATGGGATCGATATTTGGGGCTTAATTAGAAAGCTCTATATTACTTGGTAACGATACATATACTTGTGTAGAATCCCTACATATATAATTGAAATCATACTTTGCTTGGGATCAAGTTTTTAGCGCCATTACCGGGGATTAAAATCTTCAAGTAATGGTGTCAACTTTATAAATCCTTACATATAAAAAAATATCGGGATCATTTGTTGGGCTGTATTGGTACGGCAACCTTGGGCATCCATATCCTTTTTTATACAGTGATGTCTTGAGACAAAGTGTCTCAGCAGATCATCGGCATGTCGAAAGGAAGCATGCTCCCCATGGTGCGGACCAAATACAGTATTGGGTTATCTCTTCATCTTCTCCTTCAAAATTTTAAGAACATCCTTGTGACCGATAATTGGTAGAATTTTTGGACATAGACGCAACTTAACTGATCGACGACCTGTGAGTCTAGTGGCCGTAGAATCAGT